ATATATATATATATATATAGCATGTATAAATAAATTTTATTTTTTTATTATACTTAAGAGTCTCCTTAGTATATTCTACTTATAACCTCAGATGCTGATCAGATTCCAAAGATGATTCCGAAGATTTTGAAGTAAATAGATCTTATCATTCGTGAATGAATTATTTGGAAAAAATACATTTACGATTTGTTTGCGAAATAAATTTTTATATTATAATTAATCCTGTAATTCTTTAGGTTTAATTAAGTATTTCTACAAGTAATTCTCACACAATATAAATTTGCAAACGTGTCTATACTTATTACAGAAACAACAATTATTTAATCTCAGTGTTTTAAATCTACATTTTCCAATACCATAAAACTTGTCCTCGTTAACTTTTCCTTTGCAATCTTTCTTTCATCATTTCGGTGCAGAAGGTTTCAAGGACGCGCTCTTGAAACCTTCCACGAGATGCACACGCGTCGAAACGCAACAGTCGCGTGTTTCGTCGGCCGGAATACTCGAGGAGCGTTAATTTTCCGGTGAGAAGCTCGTTTCATCCATCTGGCCTCAGCCAGACCGGAAATTACGCGTGTTGATCGTTCGGATGCAAGGCAGAGGAGCGAAAAATCGACTCCTCCCGAATAATGGCAAGCGCGAAAATGGACAACACCTTTGGGAATTCGTGACGTTTCACGATGAATCGTTCGGGGAGGGGGATGAAAAAAAAAATGTCTGAATATTTCATCGATAATATCGGCTCCCGCACGAATGGAAAATCGATGGTCCCGAGTTTGTTGTTGGAAAAATTCCATTCGTTGGAAAAATGTTTCGCAAATTTCGGAATGGAAATCGTTGATGCGAATGATGAGGTTAACGATGGAAAAAAACAGTGTAATATTGCGATTGATATCCGTTACAAAAAAAAATATGCCATTGAAAAAGAAGATGATTTGCAAGAAGATGATTCAAAAGTGATTAATTTTTTATTTTATTCTCGAATTATTGGAAACGTCTGAAAAATCGTGTGCATGTATCTGCATATTTTAATTATCTATAAAAATATATAAAATCTATATATATTCGTGTTAAGGAAATAATTATGATTCTATTAATGAACATTATATATTTTAATTATATACTTTTTATTATGTTAGATTAATGATGATAATAGAAATTTTATAACGCAGAAACGGATGAAATGTAAAATTGAATTAATTTTACATTTGTTCTCGTGTGGGTTTCATAACGATTCTACAAAGATTTCATTTTCCATTTTGCATATTCATAAAATTATAACATTTTCAAATGTACATACGTAGAATGTGGAATTACATTCGTAAGGAATAAAAAAAAAAAAAAACTAACTAAACTAAACTAAGAAGAAAAATCAGAAAGAAATGTACGTTCGTTCAACCGTACATTTCATCGACTGTCAAGATTAATTAACTACTAACCTCCAAGAATAACAATCTTTTAATCCTGAGAAAAAGCGTTAAGTGAAATAAAACGTTGAATCGCTTTTAAATTGTTTTTCATATGAAAAATTATTTCAAGCAAGAGTTATATGGTATGAAAAGGAAAATATTGAATATAAAAATTAATCTTATGCTCTTTAATTAAGATTTTTTCTTTAATAGATGAAAAAGAAAATAATTCTAATGTATTATTACATATATTTACTTTTAATCTTTTGTCTTTAATGTCCTTTTATCACTAGTGTTATTAACAAAATTTCAATTATCATAGAATTTACATTTATCTGCATCAATCAACATGACATTATTAATTATATTATTAACAATCAAATATTACTGCAATAGATCGTTTCGATATACTGGTTTGCAAAGAATTAAACAGAACTTAGAATTTCACCCAGTTTTTGAATAATATTCTCTACGTGGAATTTATTGAATTCTTGTTTTTGAACGATCATCCATTCAATTCGATGATTCTCTATGGATTATATTCAACTTATCTCGGTTAATTGTCGAGATACTCGACAAATAATTATACAAGACTAATAATTTAATCCCTGTCGAATATTAGTAATTTTCTAGCACGTTCGAATAATTAAAAGCTAAATTCACTTAATAATAAACTTGACAAGAGAGAGCACGTAGGATTCCCATTGCAAAATCATTATCAATTTCCACGTAGCCGCATTTTCCACGTGCGGATGCGTTTGACAGACTCCACCACAATCCTGCGTATGAATAATTTACATGAAATTTTAATTAAAATATTTAATTTTCATGCACGATCTGATTAATAGTTTATCTCATGGCGGATTTAAATATTGATGTGCAATTAATTTTCCAGCTGTTTTAATAATAACACGAGCAAATATACATGAGATAATGAGATAAGTAGTGGTCAAGCAATGAAATGGAAAAATAATTCGTCCTTTCGTTTCTATTATTCAATGATTCTGTAATAAAGAATTCTTTTTTTTTTTTTTTTTTCCTAACAATTTAAACGTATATTATATATCGATGATGTAAGTATTTTCAAAGGAGTTAAAAATGTATCTGTTACTAAATTAACCTCGAAATTTTAATCGATTAATTGTCAATCGTTTAATTCTACGTCATACCGTAGATCACACCAGAGATCAATTGGAAAGATACGCCTTCCTCTCCGTGATTCCTTCCGTTTTTCGCCTCACCTCTCGTTAATTGCATCAACTGTTCTCGCTTCTGGTAATTAAGTTCGTAATTGAGGAGGAGCGCGGTGTAATTTTACCACCGTCTCCTCCAGCGTAGACTCGAGTTTAACGTCGCGACAGTTTTGTTTCGTGTGCAGATTCCAATTTATTTTATCATTACCGATTTAATTGGAGTTAATGCCGTTCTGTGTTACAACTCGAACGTTCTATCCATCGTAGTGCACGTGGAAATGGTGAAGCTGGACGCGACAATTTTTTTTTTATTAAATTTGGAGGACATTTAATTATAATAGAGCATCGTAATTTTTTTTTTTTATCAGAGTTTTTTCGCTGATTGCAAGATAAATAATGATGAATGTTTTGTAAGGATAAGTTATACAAAAGGAGGGATCAAAATTCTTTTTCTTGGATAAAGAATCAATTCTTTCTGGAATCAATTCGGAATTGTTCCGAATCAAGAAATTCGTTAAATTAAATTTATGTATACGTTGTAACCAATTTCACCGAATTCTCTCCTCGAAAGATAATATTCCATCTCGATTTACCTTACTACCAGCTTACAAATACAATTAATAGAATTGCAGATAGTTTAATAATAACCCGTCTAAATCACGGATTCACGGATAATCTTCAATCTCTGTTATTATTATCAATATCCGATTAATCGTCGAAATTTATCGTACAATATCCCGCAAAGTAAACTGTTCGAACGAGATTATAATATTTTTGAAGATATTTCAATATTGGTTATAAAATATATAAACCATACCACATTTATCAATAAGATCGACCAGAACTTTATAATATCCTTCCCTTGCATTCATTTCCAACATAACATTGATAATATGATTTTTAAATTCTCTCTTCTTTTTTTTCTTTTTAACCATATAAAAATTCCAACATATCATGCACCACACTTGGCAACAACACGAATCTTCATCATTTTTTACCAACTATAGAAACGCGTGTCAAAATTCAACGAACGAATGATCGATTATAAAAAATATCGGGAAAAAAAAATATGTAAATAAAATAAATTACTCACTTTGCAAGCAATCGGCGTTCAGCAGGTCCTTGCACTTTTCGTGGCACTTGACACCGCACTCCGTGCACCGCACCCCTTGCCGGGCGATGCCCCAAAGAAGGCCCTCGCACTCGTAGCAGTAGGTCGGCGAGGTGGCGGTCCAGGTGACGAATTTGTGAGGCGTGGTCGAGGAGATCGGGTAGATCATCGCCTGCAGCGTTTTCTTGTACACGTGCATCTTCTGCGGGTGGAGTATCGTTGCGTAGACAAGTTAGAATAAACGAAACGAAGAGGATTCAACGGGGGAGGGGAGGTGGAATACTCTTCATTTGCAAGGATCATTCTAATCGATCGCCCCGCTGCTTCGCTGCTCATTCGAAATTTCGATGGGGAATTTGATGAGAATTTTTCCACTCCTTTTTTAATTATATATATTTTACCTTGGACAGAGATCAATTTATTTTTTTTATAGTGGTCGTCAATCTCAAGTATACTTTTTTTTTCTATTATTTATTTAAAGTTAAGGAATAGTATTGCAAAAGAAATTTTGTTAGCAAAGTTCAAAAGTAGGCCTTTCTTCCTTTTACTTGTCATTGCCATAAATCCTGTTATAAAAATTACTAGTACGACAATTATGCAACATAGTTACCCAATTATCATAGCTCTACTCAAGAAAAATAAAAACTCGTTCCTCCATTGATTTCAAAAAAAAATCAAAATTCTCGATTCCATCGATTCGTTGGAGCAGGGGATGCGTCGAGGTGATTCGCGCGTTACCAATCAACGAAGAGAGCGCGGACAGACACGGGTCGAAATCGGGACCAAAAAACGCTATCCAACGCTTTTTCCACAGTGTATCTCATCAAACTCGATACAACCCTCCTCCTCTTGCTCCCAAAATTCAAACAAAAAAAAAAAAAAAAAAAAAAGAAAAACCACTTCATCCACTTTTATCCGTTTCGAAACCGTGTCCTACACTCTCTTCCACTACCTTCCACAATCATCCCTATTATTCCTATCGTTCCTATCGTGAACTCACCTTTCGTGTGAAACTCTTGCTTCGTTCTCATGCAAGATCAAAGGTACAAATATATATATATATATATATACTCACTTACTATATATATATATATACATATATTGTATGCGTGTGTTTACTGTCAAGTCTCGGTGTCATTCATTCGAAACGTCACGCTAGCTCTCGTACATAATTACGCGAACAATCATAACGTGCCAGAGGGGAATTGGTGTGCCTGGCGAGACCTAATTACATACGCAATCCTGTGTGTGTGTGTACACGGATTAAACAAAGGGGGGTGGGGTGGAATTTCCACGGGGGGTGTTGTTGGTTGGCTGGTTGGTTTTTGGAATGTACACAAGAGTCAAGTGTTGAACGGAGATTCTCAAGGATTGTCTACGCTCGAAATATACGATGCGTTGTTCATGCATCTTTGTTCTTTCGAATTTCTCGCACTCTAACTCGAGGGGGAGTTGCGTGGCGCAAGGGTGTTTTTTTTTTTTTTCTCTTTTCTTTTTTCCAACGCGTGTGTGCCTGCGCTCGTCGATCGCAATGCCTGCGCTGCCTGTGATCACGTGGGCGGGTGGACGATGATACACGAGGGAAAAAGGGGTTCGGGTTCTTGCGGTTGTACATATTTGTTATATCAAAGAAGAGTGTATGTTTGATTTTGCTCCTCTTCGAAAGGATGATTGTTTGCCGATCTTCATTTTGTTAACTTGTAAAGGAGATGATAGCGGAGTGATGTACTTCGCGTACTGGAATAATTGTATTCCTTTCAATTAATGGTGAACTCACGTCTCTTTATTATTTAGAGATCCATCGTATTTTCTCCAATTCCTTGTAATTTTAGTAAAGTTTGTAGCGGTTGTGGGGATAATTTTTTAAAAATTCTTTCGAGATGTGCAACGACGTGTAGTCGAATGAAGGTTTATTTTTGATTTAATTTAATTTTACGGGTAAAACAATCTTTATCTTTTCACTTTGACATTCTCTTTGAAATCAACTTTTAAATTTTTCGTATTATTTTCTCGTGTTTTCTTTTCTTTTTTTTTTTTTACAGGTAATTGTTTCACCTTTACTTTGAATTATCGAAAGAATGATCCAAGATATTCAAAATCAATGCACGTCACATGAACGAAATGTACGGTACGTGGTTCAAATATTTCAAAGGAGTTAATAATAAAACAGCAAACTCTTCGAATCTCTGCTTCGAATCTCTTTCAAAAAAGTGAATTCGTATTTGATGTGCACAGGCAGCGCAGATTGATCTTCCTGAAATTGGCGCAGCAATAGGAGCGCTACAAGGAGTCACAGGATCTATTTCTTTCGTGTCTTCGTAGGGTGATAAAACGGGCTCGAGGATACCAACCCTCGTCCCCGTTCTTCTCTGCACGATTTTTATCTTTCTCTCGTATCGACACTTCCGAAACTGACTTCCTGGTCGGATGATCGACGAAAAACGTTTACTGGCCACATTTCTCTCGTGGCGGGGGGAAAAAAAAAGAAAAAACAACAACAACAAAATTTTTTCCTATCGATTGCAATCCTTGGCTTCGTTCGACTAGTCTTTTTTCCTTTT